TGGTGTGTATTTTTTTTTTTTTTTTTTTTTTCTCTTTTTTTTTTTTTTTTTTTTTAATTTTTTCTGCCAGAAAACCGCGCTAAAGACTGCAAAATAGAAGGGTGTTTTTTTTTTTTTTCTGCCTCTATATACTGAGCTTAAAATATGCCTCTAAATGTCCTAATGTGCATGGACACATAGGATAACATTAAGCTACTTCTGATTTATTAGCCAGGCTTGTGTATCGACAAAAGAGCAAATTTGTGGGGGGTTTTTGTTTTTTCCTAGCAAAAAGGTCTGGAAACATATAGATCTCAGGGCAGTATAGGAATCTTTTTGGCATCCAATAAGATACGTGCATATATTTAGGGATTAAGGATGGTAATACTGTAAATAGGGTTAAAATATACCCATCACAGAACTATGTAGATTAGTTTCTTGGCTGTTTTTAGTACTTTTTTAGGCTGTTTTCATAGAAGTATGGAGATAAGAAATTCTGACACTCCTTCATAGCATGCATGACCTGGGTTGGTTACCTATACAAGTTTTGAAGCCAGGCACACTAGCATTTTTCAATAGAGGTCAGCAATGGCAGTCCCCACTCTTCTCATGACAGATTTTCTAAGGGTTATGGACTGTATTTTACGGTTATGTGGTAAATGTTTAATTTTGAACCTGCATTCACACCTGAGCAGAGCATATTTTGGAATGGTGGGGTTTTTTTTTCAGGCGTTTTTACAGGAATTTTTTTTTACAAGCGTTTTTGCATGTCTCAAGCATCTGGTGTTTGTTTCCTGGGCTGGGCAAGGGAAGCAGAGCAGTTCTAGGGGAGTCCTTCAGACACAAAAACATGCAAAAAAAGTGTATAGCACATTTACAAGCACTCCTGTTGAAGTCTATGGAGCCAGAAATGCCTGAATGCGCACAGACAAAAGCTTATGTACTATTTTATGTGTAGAAAGAGTATACAAGTGTGAACAGGAACAATTAGAATGAAAATCTGCATATTGAGTGCAGTCTGGTGTAGGGAAACAAGCTGAAAATGATCGTGTGAATGGAGGCTAAGTTTTAGGATAAGGTTGCTGTGCTTTTAAGTGTTTTGAAGGGATTGGGGGATTAAAGGTTAAGGATTAAGGTTAATATGGTTGTTCGGTTTTAGGATTTGGTTAAAAGTTCTGAAACCCTATACTGAAAACCACCTGTGCCAACATATTGAAAAGAGAGGTCCTGTCACATTTTGCCAGCTTTTGTTTGGATAATTTTGAAGTGCTCCCTTTCCATTCTTTCTAGTTCAGCCCTGGAGGACTACAGGACAGAAAGTGAGAGAAAATCTCTCTAATGAAGCCCCCAAAAGGCAGTAAAAACCTAGTGTGGGATGCTAATCTTTACCCTGTCTATTGAAAACTAAAATAAATGTTTCTACCGTAACATATACATTAACTGCCATCCTTGCAACCATTTGAAAGATTCTTCCACCTAAATTTCCTTCCTTGATCACCTCTTTTCTACTTGTCTAGCTTCCTCAGTTTATTAGACTATGGGACATGGTTTAGAAAAACTGGAGAACTTGCTGGCAGTGAGCACTTCGGGTCATTGATTTAGCCAAAGCATAAAAGATGACCCCTAACTGGTTACCAAGTTTATTTTCTCTAATTTTTATAAATGGAACCTACTTGTTGCTTCAATTTCAGTGGGCAACCTCTCAGTATTGACGGAGACAACAGTTGAAGATCCTTGGGGGCTGGGGGGGTGGGTTCACAATAACCTTTAGTGTACTGCAGGGAAGTGCAAGCTTTTTAAACTAGGGTGACCAGACATCCCCAGTTTCCGGGGACAGTTCTGATTTCATCCCAAGTTAAAATGTGTTCCTGATTTTCTTTCCTGTTTTAATAATGGCGCCCCTTGCCTGGGGCGGCAGCAGGGTAATCCAACTTAGCAACTTTTTTTGTGACTGGCCTGGCACAGGCGGAGGGAGGGGTAATGTCAATATTACATGGGATCATTTGCCCCCTTGCTTCTGATGGTGACCTTTAGTGCATACCTGGGCCTGCACTCCTGACCTAGAGCAAAACAAGCTCAGGTGGTGTTATACCATACCCTTTTAAGTCCCTCCCACTGTTAGCGCAATTTAGCCACACCCAACATTTGGCTTCACATGCCACTATTATCTCCACCCCCAACTCACACTGCTGTAGGGTGTCCCTAGATTTCACTTTAAAAATCTGGTCACGTTACTCTAAATACCCCTCATGTTTAAAGTACAAATCCAGCTTTCATTTGACTTTTTAAATTGTTCCTTCAGGCCAATCTGTCCCAAATGAACTATTTCCATTACATTACTGTGCAGCCAGCTTGGACCAAACAGACTGTGAAGCTAGAATTCTATTTTAAGTGCCCTTTTTTTCTTTTTCTTTTGGAATTGTACAGCTGTGTGCCTGCATAATGCTGTTGTAGTTCTCCTGTGACATTTAGAGACATGCAGGCAGAGGACTCTCTTTATCTTGCTGACCCTGAGTTATGTTGATCTTGACTTCAACATGCCCTAGTGCTTGTGTGGAGGAGTCTTGCTTCTTGCTTACTTTTCCTTGCTTTCGTCCCGTTACACTGAGGCGTGTTCTCTTGTTCTGCTCCAGGGATCTCCATATTTCATATGTTGCCTGTTCGTTATTCTGGCTGACTTCCCAGATTGCTTTCCAAAGAAAACCTAATTTGCTTCAGCAAGTACTTGGCATCTGTTCAAACTGCACATATTTTTTTTTTTTTTTCCCTCTTAGACTTTGTAACTTTTTTTATTGGCTTGGTGTTCATGACTGCATTAACCTCTCTTTAACTGATGTTATATTAGGAACAAGACGCCCATTTCTCATGCACAGATCCAAGTCGAAGTTACTCAGTCTTGCTAAGTTTGTAGCCCCTGCAGGGAAGGATAAAGTTGTGCATTGGCTGTATATGTGGACAATTAATCTTGTGAGCTCACTTGTCATAGTACCTGAGCAGTATCTTAGCAGAAAACGAGTGCACGGGGGGAAGGCTGTGATCCCCATTCATGGGCCAGTATTGTGTTACGTTTTAAAAAGCTATTTTAGTTAGTGCAGCAGTATGTTGTAACTCTTCTTCAAGAAGTAAAACCTGTTCATAGACCTCGGTTGAAGCGGAGATGACCACACAGGGGGCAGTGTTGCCATTGCACTGCAGCTTTAGACATGCACTGGCTGCAATCAAAGACAATAGCTGTGTCCAGCTTAAGCTGAGTCTTCTTGTAAGACCATAAAGCCTGGTACACACTATTAGTTTTTTTTCGTTCAACCCAGTGGGCTGAATAAAAAACCTGACCACTCAGGAGGAGCCGCTGTACTAACTATCTGATGTTCATATAGCGATCTCCCATACTGCCTTATTGTGTTCTGATAGGGGGGATACCCCCCACCAGAACACTTCAGTCAGTGTTCTCAGACATTGGTTGAGAGTGCTAATTGGGAGGCGATCGGCAGTCGTTTTTAGGTCATGCCTCTAGGCTGGCTTCTGGCTTACACACGAGGCGAATTTCGGCCAATTTCTATTGAATCGGCTGATGCTGCCCAACATTTGGCCCATGTGTACTAGGCTTAAGTACAGTATCTCACAGAAGTGAGTACATCCCTCACATTTGTGTAATTTTATTCTATCTTTTCATGTGACAACACTGAAGAAATGACACTTTGCTACAATGTAAAGTAGTGAGTGTACAGCTTGTATAGCACTGTGTTTTTTGCCGTCCACTCAAAATAACTCAACACATGAGTTAATGTTGTCTAAACCGCTGGCAACAAAAGTGAGTACACCCCTAAGTGAAAATGTCCAAATTGGGCCCAATTAGCCATTTTCCCGCCCTGGTGTCATGTGACTCGTGTTACAAGGTCTCAGGTGTGAATGGGGAGCAAGTGTGTTAAGTTTGGTGTTATCCCTCTCACTCTCTCATACTGGTCACTGGAAGTTCAACATGGCACCTCATGGCAAAGAACTCTGAGGATCTGAAAAAAAGTATTATTGCTCTACATAAAAATGGCTTCGGCTATAAGAAGATTGCCAAGATCCTGAAACTGAGCTGCAGCACGGTGGCCAAGACCATGCAGCGGTTTAACAGGACAGGTTCCACTCAGAGCAGGCCTCGCCAAGGTCGACCAAAGAAGTTGAGTGCACGTGCTCAACGTCATATCCAGAGGTTTTCTTTGGGAAATAGATGTATGAGTGCTGCCAGCATTGCTGCATTGGTTGAAGGGGTGGGGGGGTCAGCCTGTCAGTGCTCAGAGAGTTTAATATTACTTTAAATTCTAACGTTGCAAAGGATCACACTAATATGCAGTTTTTGAGCTTATTTCATTAAATCATATTGCGGGTAAAACATTTTGTAAATGTAAAGTGCAATACTAATAGCAACCTATAAAGATCCATCTCGTTCTAACCTATTCTTGAATTACAGTTGGTTGCTGTGAGTTACTACACAGAGAAATTGCAGTCCTCCTCGATCTCCTAGTAGAGACAAGAAAATTTTAATCCGTTCACTCAAGGAGCCAAAAAACATACAAGCAGTGGTGCGATTTACCATTTTCTAAAGCCAAGCATCCCCTGCATATTGTGTATCATGGAATGTGAATTGTCTGTGTTTTGGAATAACATAATATGTGCATGCACCTGCAGCTCCCTGGCCAAAGGGGGGGGTCAGTAGATTTACATTAGTGCGTTTTTTATAAGCCTCTCGCTGTGTGCTTGAGACCGAAGTTTTTAGTTTTGTACTTTGCACACATTCAAGAAAAAAATGTTAAGTGTACTAACCTATAGCAATCAGTTTTAAAATTCTTCAGCCTGTTAAAGCAGTGATTTCTGATAGGCTGCTATGGGTTTTACACTTTTTAAATCCTTGTTGCTCATTCTACTGTTATATTGAATAAGTCTAATGTGTGAAATGTTATTGGTTCTTGGATTTAGTATAATGTTTTGGAGAATATTACTTACATTTTTATTTTTTTTTCTTTTATTACCAGATTCATTGGAAGTACAATTTTATCTCTTAAAGAACTTTCAACAGGGCAGAGCCGATCATTTCCATTTAAAGGAGTAGCTCTAATGAGTGAGAAATCACAACCCATTGGTGTAAGTATTGCAAATGTGCTCACGATGACAAAAGCATAGGACTTGACATAACCAGACCACATAAGGAGAAAATTAAAAATTAAAAAAATCTAATTGTACATGAGATTTTGGTAATGACACATTGGATTTAGCCTGTTCATGTGGCAGATAACCTATCAAAATGGATTAAGACCTGTATAGAGGGCATGTCATGCTTAAGATTGGCAATCATCATCACAAGGGCATCTCAGTAAGGTTGTGTGGTCTGTGTAATATATTTTAATATTGCACCAACTGTAGAGGTTAGATGTCCATTTTTTGTTCACGTCTATCAATTGTCCTCAAATATTTCATTTTTTTTTTTTTGGATAGTTTCTGGTGTCAAACACTGCATCAAAGACCTCCTTGCAACCTGTATATTGTCATAACACTTTGATCTAGAGGTTGCTACTTATTGCAGCTTGCTCACTGCTGATAATTTTATAGTATAATAAACTATTTATAATTGTTAATTACAATAATTAGTGTAGTATATCCTCTAATAAATTCTCATTCTCTTTCACAGTCCACCATTGATTTGATGGTGTCCTATGAGGCACCTGCATCTCCTACAAATCAAAGTGACCCAGGAGGAACAAATGTGCAAACAGTTGATGGAGGTAAGTGAACTGTGTAGAGAATTCTTTAGTAGCTGACTTGTATGAAATTCATGGGACACTTCCATTGTATTCGTATATGATCCACCATTTTTATTGGACATGGTGCATGAATGTTGGTGTAGCATATTTGATTCCCATAATATATTGGTAAACCTTCAAAGCGAGTTTTGCCATGTCAGATAAATATAAATTTTGTATTCCTTGACTTCTTTAAACATCATGGTGGGCTTCTTCCACATTCTAATGTATAGGACTACATTATTTCAATATAAGAATCTATGGATAAAACGCTCTTCCTATAAATGGATATTTAGCAAACATTTTGCATGTGTGTGTTAGAAAAATGCCCCACGTGAGGGACAGGCTAATTTGTTTATGTACAGAACCTTAGACCCTCTCTAAGATAAGGTAAGAGGGTACATACTTAAGCTTGCCTGGAAACTGACAGTTCTGGGAGTGTCCATCTGTTGGGTCTCCTGCAGCTCATACTGGTTCCTCCCTTTGATCTCACTACTGTGGGATACAGTGATGTTACATCAGAGGCAGGAACAGGTGAGATCCACGGTGGACCAAGAAAGACAATCTGGGAACTGTTGGTTTCCTCATGGACTTTGGAGGACCACTGCAGAGGAAAGGTAAATAGGTACCCTCTTGGACTACAAAAATGTAGAATGTGACCGGGTTTCTTGAAAGTGAACCTGTACTTTCACCATGCAGGACAAATTTATAGGTTCCCAAGGCAAGCTACTTTTTTGTTCCTGGTGGCTGAATGGAAATGGGGAATGGTATTGACTTGGCTTTGGGTTAGTGTTGACGTTGGTTTTGCATTCCCATAGACTTGTATGCATTTGCAAACTTCAATCTATGATGTGAACAAGAGTATTTTGACACAAACTATCTGTTGTAAAATATGAAAAAAAGTACATCTAAGTTTCTAATTAAGGTTACGGTGACCCTGTACTAATACTTTAGCACACAGCGTTCACAGGCAGTTTTTAATGAGAAATGTTAATACTAGCTTTTAGGTTCCCCATTTTATTTGGTATATAGGAGGAAGAAAGAGACCTATTCACTTGGCACAATACTGTCTCTGACATGCCAAGAAAATATAAGAAGTATGTGGGCAAATCAGTCTGCTGATATCCATCTAAAACTGAAACTGCATTGGGTAAATTTTTCCTGGTTAAGAAAATTGTAATAAGCACTGTTGACATCACATATGTTATAAATTTACCAATTCAGCAATGAGTGTTGCCATAGAGCGCTTTAATCTGTTTTATTGATATACAGTAAATCAAAGTTAATCAGAAAGCTGGTGATGAGGGAGGATTGTGCACAGGCAGGAAATCTACATAGTGTTTTCCATTGTGATAACAATGTTCCAGCATGGAGTTTGCGACCTCTGCATCTTCATTAAAAGTTGTGTTTGATTATGGAGCATTCAAGTCACCTAGAAACCTTTTCCTGCCATTGTAAAGTTATTCTACAATCTAGACAGGAAATACTTGAGAAATGACAAAGCACAGACTTTTTTTCCTGGCATAACCACAGCTGCATGATGTAAATAATTTTCAGTTTAATGCTTTCTGAAGGACATGCCAAATATTCCACTTCTTTTTATTCCTTAATCGGTCTATCCAAAATTGATATTTCAGGTTTTGGTAAATCTTACAAAACAACTGAAAGTGAGGGTTCTGTGAGACCCCTGCTCTAGAATTTCTGGAACTGAGGGTATTAGGAGGGTGTCCCATCTTCCCTGTTCGATATCCTATGTATACTTAAAGATAGAAACTAGGAATTAAGAGCAAGACCTAGCACCATAGTTTCGTAGTTAGTCTGGCTGACAAAAAGACAAAAGTCCATCCAGTTCAACCATAAAAACTTTACCTATAAATGTTGGAAAAAAAAAAAAAAAAAAATATATATATATATATATATATATATATATATATATATATATATATATATATAAATGTTGATCATATCCCTCCTTAATCTCCTTCTAAAGAGAGAATAAATTCAGTTCCTCTAATCTTTCCACATAGCTGAGCTCCTCCATGCCTCTTATCAGTTTGGTTGCCCTTTGCTACTCTTTCTCCAGTTCCCCAATGTTCTTTTTGTGAATTGGTGCCCAAAACTGAACTGCATATTCCAGATGAGGTCTTACTAATGATTTGTACAGGGGTAATATGATATATATCTCTCTGGAGTCTATACCTCTTTTAATACAAGAGAAGATTTTTCTCGCTTTAGAAACAGCAGCTTGGCATTGCATGCCATTATTAAGCTTGTGATCTACCAGAACTCCCAGATCCTTCTCCACCATTGATTCCCCCAGTTGTACCCCCCCCAGTATGTATGATGCATGCATATTAGTCCCCAAGTGCATAACCTTACATTTATCAACATTAAACCTCATTTGCCACATAGTTGCCCAATTAAACAGTGCATTGAGGTCGGCTTGTAAGTTGGAGACATCCTGTAAGGACGTTATTCCACTGCACAGCTTGGTGTCATCTGCAAAGACTGAAACTGTATTTTTAATCTCAGACCCTATATTGTTTATAAATATATTAAAAAGCAAGGGTCCCAACACTGAACCTTGGGGTACACCACTGACAACCCCAGAGTATGAATCATTAACCACTACTCCTCTGAATATGATCTTTTAGGCAGTTTTCTATCCATTTACATACCGATTTTTTTTTTTTATTATTTTTTTTTTTTTCCAAGCCCGTAGGCTTTACCTTACACATTAGCCGTATGTGGGGAACTGTGTCAAACGCTTTTGCAAAATCTAAGTATACCACATCCACCGCCACCCCTCTGTCCAAGGTTTTGCTCACCTCCTCGTAAAAAGAAATCAAATTTGTTTGACAACTTCTGTCTTTTCATGAATCCATGCTGTCTGTTGCTTAAAATATTTTTTTCCAGCAAGAACTCATGTATGTGGTCTTTTATTAAACGCTCCAGTATCTTCCCAACTATAGAAGATAAACAGGTCTATAATTACTTGGTAAAGATTTTGATCCCTTTTTAAAAATAGGCACCACATTGGTGTTACACCAATCCAGTGGTCTTATGCCAGTCATTAAACAGTCCCTAAAAATTAGAAACAAGGGCCTCCCCCCTCTTTCTCTCAGCATCGGTATGGTCTGCAGCGAGTTTTGTGATTGATCATCACTCATCGCACCGAGACTCACAAGTAAGCAACATGAAGACTATGTCCTTGGCAACATAAAGGTGGATGGCAATGTTGGTGCAAAAACATTACCAGTGCACATTCACACAAAAACTGTGCAAAAGGAGCACGAACCAGCAAAGGTGGCCAGGAACTAAAACTCCCAGGTGTACAGGAGCAGTCATTTTGGCAGTAAGATACCACTTTTGAAGCATCTAAGACACCAAAAAAATATCACTTTTTGTTGGTCTAACTTTTTACTCAGGGAAAAAAAGAGGATATTCAGGACACTGCTTTGAACAATCTAAATTCTTTAAATTGTGGACACTTAGGGATGTATTTATAAAAATAGCAATTTGCCCATTGAAAGCATGTGTATAGTACACTTTTTGTTCTGTTCGAATGAGGGCAAACAAATTTATGTATTTTAGGTTATTTTCTTACTGGACCGAATCCATTTTCTTATAACAACTGAAAATATCCTGGTCATGGACCGCTTGATAAAATATTCCAGGCTCCTGATTTTGAACATTGCTTGTGATGATAAAGGTATATCTGCAGTGTAAGGGGATGACCTATTTATACCTTTGGCCTTCTAATAAGCTAGTTATTGTATGGAGGGAATTTCCTCTCTTCAAACTGACCCTAATCCTTAACTTTTCTGTTTGTGGTTGCTCTCAGGCAGATAACACGCCTTTGATTGCAGTGGTACTAGTGCTGTCTATAACCAGCCTAAAATTGGCTAATAGGTTTCAGTTGGATTGCAGGCCACCTGTTAACAAACCATAGCAAAGGGCTAATGACTAGTCAACAGTGCCTGTGGTCCCTCAGCAGCTAATCTCTCCCCTATTACTAACTTGTCTTGTTCTGTACATTGCGCCCGTCATCTTGGTAGAGGCAGGGTTCAGCTTCTGCATGTCTGAGCCACCAGCAAAGGAAATCGTAAGTAGCAAGGTAGTGACATCACTAAATCCCTGTTCAAATTCCCAAAGACTAGCAGTTGCAGCAGTGCCCGTATATTCTTTCAAACTGCAGATATACAGCTATACAACACAGGAGTGCCTAGGCCTTCCCATATACAAGGATGGGCAATCATTTTTTTAAAAGGAATTCAAGAAAATTAACATAACTAGCATTTTTAAGTTATTTTGATTTTCTTAATTTTTGCTGTTCCTGTCACGGTGTGCCCTGCCGTCCTTTCACCCTCCTCCCCCCTTGCTGCGTCCTCATCCTGCACACAGCCTCTGAAGCCAGGCTGTGCAGGATGGGGGGAGAAGACCCCTGCGGCGAGGATCACAGCTCATCTGGCAATCTAGGCGGAGGAGCTGTGACCCCTCTGCCAGGAGACCCCAGCGGCAGACCGCCGAGATGTCTTTGCGCGCACTGGTGGATGCAGCGCGTGCACAGGGGCTTCCCGTGCTCTGTGCCCACCAGTTACAAAGGCTGCGCTCACAAGAGCGTGGCCCGAGTCAAGGTGCCATGCTTAGTTGCCCCAGCAATGCGGCGCTGGGCCGGCCGTTGCCAGAGCAACCTGGAAGCATCCTGGGCGGTTTAAAAGGCCGGCGTGGGAGCCGGCCAGTCTCTTTCTCCTGTGCTGTCTGGCCGCTCTCTCTCGACCTGCTGCCACTGCTGTTGTGGGAGGTCCGGGTGGGGACCGGGCCTCCGTAGCCATCCCCGCTGAGCACTCTGCAGGAGCCCCCCTCCAAAGGTCAGAACCATCCCACCGGCTGATTGCTGGGCCCCTGGGAAGCCGCCCTGTCTGCTGATTGCTGGGCCCCTGGGAAGCCGCCTGCTGCTGAGTGTCTGCAAGCCGCCTATC